GTTGCATTTTCGTTTGTATGAGCGAAGTTTACGTCATAATTCCTGGCAGAACACTAAAAAAAGATGATAAGTGATAGGGCAGCTGTGAAGCATTCTGGGAATTATTATTATTTATCACTGACTTTGCAGAGAGCAATCTGACGGGTGGATGTGGTCAGCTGCTGGAGCGGGGGGGTGTCTGCTGCACTTTCTGCAGCAGCTGAAATGGGACAGGAACCCCCAGCCATCCTCACTGCGTTATACTGGGGAAGCACAGACAGAACCCAACAAGCTGCATTTCTGCCGGCGACGGCTCATGCAGCTCCATCTACATTTGGTCACTGCAGCAGATCCAACGAACTGCAGAACGTATCGTCCCTTCTCACTGCCATCCAGGAAATCTACAAAAACCACTGCACCCATAGAGCCATCAAAAAGGTCAAAGATTGTTCCCATACCTCTCACAGTCTTTTTGACCCCCTACCATTACAAAGGAGGTTCTGCAGTCTGCAGGCCAGAACCACCACGATCAGGAAGAGCTTTTTCCCTCCGGCTGTTCAGCTCCTCAACACTCTGCTGCCTCCAATCATACCCCAGGGATTAATAGGAGTCCTGCCACTCTACTGCCCCAAGCCTGCCTCCTCAACTTCCCTGCAATGGTCCTCTGGAACAACACCTCTCCCTCTCTGATTTATGCATATTTATGTATATTCTGTAGGCATTCGGTGGCCATTGTGGCTTCTTGTGCAACATGTATGTGTGTATATATGCAGGGGTGCCGTAAAGAGGGGAGTCAGGGTGAGGCCAAGGGTCTCTGAGTGACAGGGGCCGTGAAAAATTTGGAAGATAATTGGATTTGTCTGGGTTGGGGGTCCAGCATCCCCAGCGGTGCTCCTGCATTTTTACATAAACTGTATGGCTACGATATGCATGTATACAAACAGGCTGTTAGAAATGGCTGAGAAGCCAGAGGCGTAGGAACCAGGGAAGGAGCTGCAGAAGGTGCAAACTTGTATTCTACTCTCCCAAAGAAGTGCACAACTACAAAACACTAGCAAGCAAAAATCATCACCTAAAACAGGCTATATGCTGGCAGACCTGCATCGATAGCCTCCTCCCCCCTTCAGCACCCTCCCCAGGGCTTATATAGATTTTAACCCCTCCCCTTAGAGCAATTAATCCAACAATTAACATCCTCCATGCAATACATCCCACATACACAGTTCTAAAATATACTATTTAAAACCACAATTTTATTCAAATTTATTCCTAAAACCAACAAAAACTAAAAATATCAATTTTATTATAATGTGCAAAAATACCTCCCCAGCCACTTTTTTTTGTTTTACCCAACAAATTGCAAACACCCCCCCCCCCCCACACAATTGTTAATTTTACAAATACAACCGGAAGGACACTTAATATCCAGAGACAAAGCTGGACAATCCGGGATAGAATCCATATTACAAACAACGTTACATCAGGGTGGAAGGAAAATACCTAAATTTAAAGTTATCTGCAACATCATAATTATGTTTACAACTAAATATTAATTGGGCAACATTTTATAAACATAACATGTGGTCACTTGTAACAATATTGTCACGATCCAATCCATGACACAGGTGTACAGTATAAAGTTAATTTACTAGTACATATGTAAGGTCAATATACACATCTACCATCTTCAAAGTAAATCTATTATGTAATCATTTATGTTACGTTAGATTAGATGAACCCCTTGGACCATGTCAGCAATGAACAGTTCATAGAGAAATACAGGCTGGCCTGGGGTGAAATAATGAGCCTCCTGGTTGGTGCAGGATAAATCGAGAAGAGGAACAGACCGGAATTGTGTTCTGACAGCTCTCAGCTTCTACGCCACCGGTGGATTGCTGCAGACCTACAGAGGCACATGGCAAGGCCGCTGTGTCCTGCATCTGCGCATTGATCACATCTCTCTTACACTGTGTGCACAACTACATACACTGTCAGCAAGGCCGCTGTGTCCTGCATCTGCGCATTGATCACATCTCTCTTACACTGTGTGCACAACTACATACACTGTCCAGCAGGAGGGGATGCCTTGCAGGCCCCT